TGTGTGTGTGTGTGTGTGTGTGTGTGTGTGTGTGTGTGTGTGTGTGATGCTGGGGACCAAACCTAGAGCCTTGGACATGCAAACCTGATCCTCTGTAAGGTATAGCTTCAGACTCACAGTTTTCAATTTTTTGCTCTGAAATAATTACAAACTCACCCAGAGAATACAACCTTGCACCATTTCTGGTCAGATGAAATATTCAAAGCAGGAAACTGGGGCTGGAGAGCATCATGGGGGTTGGGAGGGAGGTATTAGACAAAACAATGGATTGTTACTCTGACTTGGTGAAATTATTTTCAAATTACCTGTGAATAATTGCACAATTTTGAAAATATGTTACAAGCCACTGAATTGTACATTTTATTGTTTATTTCTGTGTGTGTGTGTGTTTGTGTGTGTGTGCATGCGTGCATGTGTATGTAGGCACACATGTGTGCAAGCATTGTGTGTGTGTGCACATGGAGACCAGAGGTCATTTCTCAGGTATCACCTGCTACTTTTAAAAAAGTATTATTATTGTATTTATATATTTGTGTATGGAGAGGGGACATGTGAAGATCAGAGGATAAATAATGGGAGTCAGCTCTCTTTTTCTACCCTGTAGGAGTTGGGGATCAGACTTGGGTCATCGAGCTTGGTGGGCTGGCCAATGAGCTCCCAGATTCACCTGTCTCTACCTCCCCTGCACTGAGATTTCTAGAGCCACCATACTAGGCTTTTAAACTGAGTGGTCAGGGTTGACTTCAGGTCCTCATGGCTGCACAGCAAATGTGTTTCCCTACCAAGCTATCTACTCAGCCTCAAGTTGTATACATTCAATGGATGGATCATATCGTATATGAACTATAGTTCAATGGAGTTATTTTTAACATCAATAACAGATCAGGCATGGTGGAATATGCCTATCTCCCCCACACTTGGGGAGGTAGAGGTAGGAGAAACTCCAAGAGAGACATTTCAAATTTCTTAAGAAGTTTTTATCTAAAATGCTTTGGAAATTCAATGGAGAGATGACCTGTAGCTTGTGGTAAAAACAAAAATTCCTTAAAAACTAACTGAAAAATAACGAACACATATTAGATACTTATTTTAGAAGATACAGAGGAAAAATCCAAGTCAATAATCAAATCCAAAGAATTTTAAAGTTCAACATACTTTTAAAACCAGGAAATCATATAGGAGCCTTTAAGTGGGATGGCTCAGCCTTGTTTCTATTAAGGAAGATGCAGGACAAGGTACCCAGTGGAGTCCTGACAGAAATACTGTCAGCACCCAGCAGACTAAAATCAGGTCCACTGTTCTCTCCTTGACCCTGAAGACATATCTCAGATAGTCAAATTTGGAGGGATTTTTAAAATTGTATTTTTGAGATACAGTTTTGCCTATAGGCGTCACTGAACTGGTACTCATCACACAGCCCGGTATGGCTTCAAATCTGTAGCAATCCCCCTGCATCTGTTTCTTGAGCGCTGGAACTTCAGGCGTGAGCCAGTATGTATGGCAAATGTTAGAGTAGTTTGCAAAGGTTGCTTAAGCGTAGGTGATATAGATCAGTGGGTAAAGATGTTTGCCACCAAGCCCGATGACTGAACTTCAGTCCCAGGATCCACCTGATGGAAGGAGAGAACTGACTCCTGTAAGTTATCCTCTGACCTCCGTACATGCACCATGGCACACACGAACCCCTCCATGTCCCACCCACCCACAGATAAACAAACAAACATAAATCGATAAATGTAATAAAGATTTAGAGTTATCTCACTTAAAACATAGTTGTAGATCTAACAGTCTTATTAAATAAGAAACACAGAGCCAAATGCAGAGTTAAGAGCCCAAGAGGTCAGAGCAGTAGCTAAGAGCTGAGACTTAAAACTGCCTTCTTACCCTTCCTGCTGCTGCTGTCCTTCCCCTCAGCAAGAGACCTACTTCCTGTGTATCTGTCTTTTTATTGACTTTCTGTTCTGCCTTCTCATTGGTTGTAAACCCAATCACATGACCTCCTCGTCACTGCCTGTCTATACAGACCTCCAGATCTCTATGGTTGGTATTGAGATTAAAGGCGTGCATCCCCATGCTGGCGAACACACAGAGATCTGCCTGGCATGTGATCGGGATTAAAGGTATGTGCCACCACCACCCAGCTCTTGCTATGGCTTGCTATAAGCTCTGACCCCCAGGCAACTTTATTTATTAACATACCAATAAAATCACATTTCAGCACAAATAAAATATCACCATAGATAGTAGTTTGTTTAAGAAAAGCCTGAATGTCTATGGCCACCATTGATACCTCATCTGTAGGAAAAATAGAAAAACTTTAAAATACTCATTATTAACAAATTTCTTACTTAAGGATGTGAAATGCAAAAATTCTATAAACCACGAGGAAAATGACATGTCCTACTACACACCCCAATAACCTCTTTATCTGCATTAACTGATTCACAGCTTCCTTTGGCATCTCACAAAAAAATAAGTCAGGGTGCACTGTAATTATCAACGCACGATTCCTCTGACCCCACTATTAATTATTATTATCAGTACTAGCAGTATTGTCTTGCAGTGCTGGGAGCTGAAGAAAGGGCCTCCTACACAGTAAAGGAGTGCTCTCCCACCGAGTACACTCCCAGTCCTTCTTATAGTCTTTAATTTCATGACAGGGTCTTACTATGTGGTCCAGGCAGATCTTGAATTCACTGTGTAGCCCAGGAAATACCTAAACTTGGAATCCTCCTGCCTCAGGCTTCCAAATAGCTGGAATTTCAGGCCTGTGCGAACAGGTTCAATTCCTGTTTATATTAATGTTGGTGGTTCATACAGACGATGAAATGAACATTGACATGGAAGAATAATTTACTAGTATACTCATCCAGTACTAGTTTGTAACATACTTTGTTTTTATATGCTATTTCTAAATAAGAATTCAGAATATAGGATCCCTATTAGGAAAGTACCACAGCCAACATTTAACCCAATAACTCTTATGGGTGCTTCACATCCTTAAAATGCTGATAAACTCTTTAGTCAAAAGAATAATACTGGCTTTAGAGGGGAAAAAAAAGGATATAGCTCAGTGGCAAAGGATTTGTATAGCACACACGAGGCTGAATTAAATCACAGACCCTGCCAAGAAACAAAAATCAAGTGTGTGTGTGTGTGTGTGTGTGTGTGTGTGTGTGTGTGTACACACACACCACCACCACCACCACCACCACCACCACCTTCACCACCACTACCACCAAAGACAAGCACACTGAATTCCCAGTGGTTCTGCATATACTCGGATTTAGCTGATTCTAACCTAGCACAGTGTAGACTAAGAAACAAATCAAATACATTTTCATGAGTATCCAAATTTTTGGCGGCTTTGTGCATAGCCATCTTTTTTGCACAAATCTGTAGGTAAATTATTTTGTGTGATCTTGTTCTCAGTTTAAACCCACGGTGACTTCCACAACAGCATTAAATTATGACCTGCATACACACACACACACATACACACACACATACACACACACACACACACACACACACACACAATTTTGTTTTCCCTTGATATTGTGAGTTAGATGAAACATCCACTGTGGTATGAATGTAACAGGAGAGCAATCTCAGTACTACAGATTTCGTAACTGTTAAGTACTGTATGGGAATTCTTTGTTCTGGGCTTGACAGGACACTTGCCATCATGGGCACAGCAGCTCTGATGACCTAGCAGAGACCTCAGCCTGCAGAATTACACAGCAGACAGCTAGCTAGCCTATGGAAGTGGAACCCACTTGCTCTGGGAAAAGAGTCAAGAGATCCTCATAATACCTCTGACCCTCTCCTGATATTTCAACTGCTACTCCCTCTTGTTCATATAGATATAACCTTAAAAATACTAAAGAATGTAGGAGGTAGAAATTCAGTGGGGAATGGGACCTTTTGGTGGTGTAGCGGTTCATGGGTCACTTGAACTCCTGCAACCCCACCAAGTTCATTTATCTCTCCAAGGTAGGCTTGATAAGTTCTTTCTTAGGTTTCTGAATTCCCTATCTATTTCAGGTAAACAGAAATTTCTCTTCCATCTCCCCAGGGAAGTCATGGAGCAGTCTATCAGAAGTATTTTCAGTTTGGTTCAGAGGTAGAATAGTGTAGGGCTCTGGTTGTTGATTCCTGGCCCTGAGAAAGTTTCAATCTAATGAAAATACCTAAAGTCAG